GCCCCCAAATTAGGAAAGGTCAGCAATTATATGGTCTTCAGTGCCCTCTAGTGGCTAAATAACCCAACTGCGGTGCACAGATCCAACCCGCAACAAATGCTACGGTGGTCAAATGCCTCTATCAATCTCGATAAATCTCCTAGCATAAACCCCCTGTAATTAACGTCAAACTACAACCCGTGCTATAAGTGGAAATGGACTCGTAGAACTGGAGGGATTTTGACTCACATTTGCACAGGAACGCACACGGCTGGAGATCGCTATTCCCCCGCACTCATGGAGAAAAACATGCCTAGTGCTCCTCGGACTCATGATACGGCAGGACCGTCGTAAAAGTTGACGTCATCACTGAAGCAAACAGTAAGAACAAAGTGGAACTTATTGGCAGAAATTAACACTGCACTTATAGCGATGCGATTGAAATATAAGGAGACTTTCGAACAAGTTTTAAAAAAGTTACTCAAATTTTGATGAAAACGTCACATAAGGAGCAGCAGCAGCAGATCTCCAGGTTACGCTGCTGTTTGGTAAAAACATGCTTAGATTAGCCTGATGTGCTGCAGATCTTCACTGTTTTCCAGAAACAAACTGGTGCCCGTCCTATAACTATCTTATAGCCAATATTAAAGAAAGACAGGCAACATCAACACTGAGGCAGTGACGTCAGAGACTTCAGGACACCAACAGCTGCAGATGTTGCCTCAGATTCAGTAAACTGCAGGACACGTGTCCACCTGCAGAGCTTTAGTTCACAGCATGCTCATTGTTGGATGTTCTGGATATCACCCAGAGGAAACAGAAGTTATGCAATGGGCACAACGACGGACTCAAACGTGAACAATCAGAAAGTCAGACTGCAGAGCAAAAAGCTTGAAGTTCATTTGTTGCACTTGGTCCTTCGCTCGTGTCGCTGAGCAGAGAAACGGCTCAGAAAGAGGAGTCCGACCGCAAGCGTCAGTTTCAGGTCCGCTCAGAGGTTTTCTCCTCACTGAGGGGAAACGTGAGCTGTTTATTCTGCACGGTCACTTTCTCCAATTTCACCTTGCAGCCTGTTTCTGCAGGGGTTGTACTTTCTTAGACGCCGGTGTAGAGCTGAGCGGTGAAAACACAGTCGGTCTGTGACTCTGACTGGGACCCGGCTAATTGCTGGTGACCACTACAGTGGTGTGTGTGTGTGATTTTATTGTCATCGTTGTGAAGGATGAAGTCATTCTGAGTGTCATGGTGATGTTTAGGTGGTGAGGTTCCTGCTGGAGTGCAACGCCAAGCTGAATAAAAAGGATCACTATGGCAACACGCCGCTGATCCACGCCTGCCTGCGTGGAAATCTGGACACAGCCACCGTCCTGTTACAGGTAAACACACACAC